ATGGGGCCATGAACATTTATCTTTAAGTCTGGTCATGTGTCTTCATTTTTGCTGGTGATCTTGAGAAAACTGGATTCATTAAAGAGCTTCCAGTCCTCAGTGAAGTTGGACTCAAGCTTACCTCCTCTTGCTGAGTTGGGAGAGGCAGCATCTGCAACCCCAGGTAGTTGTCAGAAAAACAAGATCACTCCTAGATTATCTATAAAAAGCTTTCACTTTTACAATTAGGAACAAGGCATTTTGCACAACTTTATGTTGAAGGCTCTAGATAGTTAAAAGAAAAAAAAGAGTTAAAAGTTATAAGCACTGGAAGGAAGAAACAAAACTATTATTCACAGATGAAAGAAAAATCAGAATTATTTATAAAGTACTTGAATTTATGAGACTGCTGCAAAGTTACTATCTTGAGAATAAAAACCAAGATATTCAAGTCACCTTCTTTTATGTATACCATCAAAACCACAGCTGAGTCAAAATATAAAATGTAATTTAGAAAAAAACATAATTTACACTTATAATAATATGTAAATTAGATCCCATAGTTAGGAACAGATCTAACCAAAAACATATAATGCCCTATTTGAAGAAAATGAATACTTTATTAAAGAAGATTTCTGTAAGGAGGGAGTTATACTGTGTTTAATAGTGGTAGACTTAATATTGTTGACTCTCCTCAAACTGATTTAGATTTGCTCCAACTTAAAGCTTAACCAGTATTATTTTTTTCCCTCAACAGCTCAACAAGCTGTTCTCAAATTTCTACAGAACAGTCAAGAATAGTTAGGATACTCTTAAAACAAAGTGAGGACTCTTGTTCTAGTAGAGATCAAGGCTTATAACTAAGCTACATTCATAAGCCTGCACTGCACTCATACAGAGATAGATGGAAACAGACCAGTAAATAGATCAGAATAGAGAACTTAGGAACAGACCACATGTACATACAAATTTGACTTATGACAGAGGTGACATTACAGATAAGTGGGGTAAGGACCCTTCAATAAATGATATAAAAACTGTTTTTCTAAATTGTTAGCTATTTGAGATATGCTATGTAAATATTTCTTGCTCCTTTGAAAATCAATTTGTCACCACCAATTAACTGTGAGTACTGGATGATCCAGAAATTATACTCCTGAAACTTGCAGTTACCAGAGCTCATACAAAAGAATGTTAATACCATAGCAATGTTACAGGTAAGATAAAAAGATGGGGGTGGGGATCCAACATGTCTACTGAAAGAAAATCTGTAAACTACTTATGGTCAATGAACATACAAGATAGTGGGGAAAAAAAAGGATGCAGGCTGCTCCATGAATCAACATGAATAACATTTGAAGACAACATAGAGAAGAAGTCCCAAAATAGCATATAGAGTGTGGTTTTATTTACGTCAAACTTTAAAACATGTAAAAGAAAATAATACATAATTTAGTAAGGCCTACATCTGTGGTTAAATGTAAAAATAAAGAGTAGAGTGATAAATTTAAAAATTCAGGCTAAATGTTCTAATGAGCTGGGATGGGGGATTAATTTAGGTGGAGCATGAAATCAGGGAGAAGCACTTCAAATAAATTGGTAATTTCTGTTTCTTAGGCTGGGTATAAGTCTAAAGCTTTTTGTTTTGTTTTGTTTTCTATTACTGCTATGACTTGGAACGTTGTGTCCCTCCAAGATTCACACGTTGAAGTTTAATTTTCATTGTGGTGGTATGAAGAAATCACGTAGGGCCTTTCAGTAGGTAATGGGGTCTTTATCCTCAGAAATGGAGTCAGTGCCCTTATAAGAGAGCTGCCTGGCCTTTCTGTCTCTTCTGCCACATGGGGACACAACTGTCATCCCATCTGCCATTTCAGGGCACAACAAGAAAGTGCCATCCTGAAAGTAGACATCTTCCTCCATCAGACTCTAAACCCATTGATTTCTTGACCTTAGACTTCCCAACTTTCATAACTGAGAAATCAATGTCTGCTGTTTATAAATTATCCAGTCTAAGGCATTTTCTTATATCAGCAGGAACAGATTAAAACAGCTACTTTAATATTTTAAACCTATAAATATTCCTTTGTACTCATTAAGCATTTAATAAAATTATTGCAAACAAATAAAAATATTGCAAATATTGAGTCAGGATGGACCTTGACTCAAAACTTGATCTGGATGCACACACACTCACACATACTGAAAGAGGATATGAAAGGATTTATTACTCATGTAATGAATGAGTCTTTCTGGGAAGAGTGGAAAGGACCCTAAGAAGGCCCCAAAATGGCTTGAGAAAGCAGAAAAAGAGTGGTGTGGGGTTTTTACAGTGACTATAGAGCGGGCCTAAGACAAGGGTGGCTTGAACTTCCTCGTAGTGCCAAAGAAGAGATCACCTTAGCTTTTTTATCAGGTGGCCCATGTAGATAGTGGAAGGAGAAGGAGAAAAGAAGTTTAAAAGATGTTAGAATTAGGGCTGGGATGTAGTTCAGTGGTAGAGCACTTGCTTAGTATGCACAGGTCATGGGCTCAATCCCCAGCACCACAAGAAAAAAAAGGATGTCACAGTCAGGCATCTATTAGATTCAGGCTCTACTACAAAAAAATTTAAGACAAAACTGTATAGATGGGTGTGCAGAAAACAAAGGGGATATCTTTCATTTTTTAAATAACATGCTGAGAAAAGGGCATCACCTTTCCCTTTCACAAACCACTTCTCTCCATTTTTTTCTTCTCTCAGGAATACTGCGCTAGAGGAAAAACTATAGTCAAATTACTTAAAATGGTAGAAAATGTAATTTACTACTCCGCAGAAGAAAGCAAATGTCAGGGAGGATTATTATAATAACATAAAACTAGATATTGTGTCTCAAGGAGGGGAAAGAATGAGAACTATCTGTGATGTTGAAAAGTTCCTGGGATGATGATGTAGGACAATATTCTTTGGGCCACTTTGTCATCTGGCTGAGCTCATGCTTTGCTGCTATGGTAGTGAAGAAATTCTGCATCAGCATAATCTGTAATTGGAAATGAACACAAGGTTTAAAGCCTTTTCCCAGAAGACTTTTCATTCCTCTTGAAGAGATACAAACAATGGATTACAAGCCACCTACTGAATATTGTTGTCGATACAAAGATAAGAAAGATTCAGTCTCTTCTAAGGGCTCACACTCTTTTGTGTTACTATTTTAGTCTGAGGTGTAAAAATGTGGATTTACATAAAAACTGTAGTCACAGTGATGGCTCAAATAATAAAATAATAAAATTGCTTTTAATGTATATCAAAATTAAAGAGTTCAAAAGAATCATTAATAACTGAGCCTACTGAATGATATATGCAGATGGAAATAACCCAGCTTAAGAAAATCCTCAATAAACAGGCTGGCGTAAAAGTGGAGACTGTGAGCAAAGGTCAATAGAGGTAAAGGTGGGGGGAAAGCTCAGTTACTTTGCATTCATGATTAAAACTGAAATGAATGCAGAATGAGAGGACAGAATTTCAAATGGGGCTGAAGAACTTTTGGAAACAGAATTCTATGCCCTGAAATGATAAACTGTTGGCACAAAAAAATGAAAACTCCTCCCTCTTCCTAATCTTTAGTAAACTCTTCTATACATAGACACTTTAAGAGAGGGCTGTTCTGAAAGGAACAAAAAAGGCTGAGCTCACAATCTGGTTTAATACATAATAATCAGTTCAGCATAATTATAATGAAAAAATACTTCTTATGTGCCAAGTGGTGTCATAAGCTTTTTACATAGTGCAACGTATTTAAGAGCTTTATAGTAATTTACTTAGTAATACTTAATGCAAATCTATAAGGGAAGTGGCAATATTCTCACCATTTTGTAAATTAGGAAATAGAAGCACAAAGAGATTAATTTGTCCATGGCCGCAGCTAAGAGGCAAATAATATCCTAATTTAGGCAGACTGGCAAACATGGTGTGGAAATTATCTAGAAACTGAATGCATTCAGTGGAACAGGAGCGTGCAGTTGGTGGGGGGGAGGGCTGGAGGATATGGATTCTTCTAGAAATCCACAAAATTTCTATAATTCAGAAGTGGTGCTTTAAATCAGTCTTAGCTATATTTTAAAGGATAGGATCACCCCAGCATGTTAATCCATTTTCATTCTCTCTCTTGTGTTCAAACACATACATACACATACAACTGTTCCAATTTTGAGTTAATTTTCATCTGGGAGTTCATAAATCTTAGCTTCATGTTACTAAAACTAATACCTAAGCAAGTCGGGTAACAAAGAGAAAGGTTTTATTCAGCTAATGGTTCTGGAGGGCCCAGTGTAAGATTGGGTGCATCTATTATTTTGAGCCTCTGGTAAATTTCCAGATGGCAAAAATAAGGAACACATAATGGGGCAGACCACTTATAACATGAGCCAGGAAGCAGGGACAGACAGGACTGATGGGGTCCCACAATTTCCTTCAATGGCATACCCTCTCAGTGACTAAAGATTTCCCACTCCACCCCACCACTTCCCAAAAGTTCTATCTTGAGGACTAAGCCTTTAACACATGGATCTTTGGGGACACCATCTATATTCAAACCATTCCACCCGTAGTACTGGTTCCAACTATCCTCTTCTTATAAAAGTCCCAGCTGGGGGTTCTTGGATTGTTTCTCTGGTTATATACGAATGCTTTTTATTTAGTCCCTGCCTCACAGAGGCCTCTTACTATCTTCCGTAAAAGTCAGCCTGCCTTTTAAAGGCCCATTACTCCTCCCACATGGTATCCATGTGTAGAAAGTAACCTTGCAGATAAGGCCGAAAGTGAAATGGAGACATCGAACACCTCAATACTTGGCTGTCAGTGACCGATTTTTCCCTGCCTCTCCTCCCCAACAAACTTTCCTGCCCCAGTGTCATTTGCCTTCTCTCTTCTGGCTAAGAGAAGTACAAAGTCTTCCTTTAGGCAGCACTTATACTCTGGGCATCCAAGAAGAAAAAAAAAATAATGAGAGAAAGGAGATGCAGCATTTGGATAAGGAACCCAGGACCACTCTACCAATGAGCAATATCCCTACTCCCCCATTTTTTTTATTTTGAGATGGGATCTCACTAAGTTATTTCATTCATTGTTATTGCCAAATAATATTCTATTGTCTGAGTATGTCATATTTTGTTTATCCACTTACCTGTTAATAAACATTTAGGCTGTTTTTACTTTTTGGCTATAGTGAATGATGGGGCCATGAACATTTATCTTTAAGTCTGGTCATGTGTCTTCATTTTTACTGGTGATCTTGAGAAAACTGGATTCATTAAAGAGCTTCCAGTCCTCAGTGAAGTTGGATTCAAGCTTACCTCCTCTTGCTGAGTTGGGAGAGGCAGCATCTGCAACCCCAGGTAGTTGTCAGAAAAATAAGATCACTCCTAGATTATCTATAAAAAGCTTTCACTTTTACAATTAGGAACAAGGCATTCTGCACAACTTTATGTTGAAGGCTCTAGATAGTTAAAAGAAAAAAAAGAGTTAAAAGTTATAAGCACTGGAAGGAAGAAACAAAACTATTATTCACAGATGAGAGAAAAATCAGAATTATTTATAAAGTACTTGAATTTATGAGACTGCTGCAAAGTTACTATCTTGAGAATAAAAACCAAGATATTCAAGTCACCTTCTTTTATGTATACCATCAAAACCACAGCTGAGTCAAAATATAAAATGTAATTTAGAAAAAAACATAATTTACACTTATAATAATATGTAAATTAGATCCCATAGTTAGGAACAGATCTAACCAAAAACATATAATGCCCTATTTGAAGAAAATGAATACTTTATTAAAGAAGATTTCTGTAAGGAGGGAGTTATACTGTGTTTAATAGTGGTAGACTTAATATTGTTGACTCTCCTCAAACTGATTTAGATTTGCTCCAACTTAAAGCTTAACCAGTATTATTTTTTTCCCTCAACAGCTCAACAAGCTGTTCTCACATTTCTACAGAACAGTCAAGAATAGTTAGGATACTCTTAAAACAAAGTGGGGACTCTTGTTCTAGTAGAGATCAAGGCTTATAACTAAGCTACATTCATAAGCCTGCACTGCACTCATACAGAGATAGATGGAAACAGACCAGTAAATAGATCAGAATAGAGAACTTAGGAACAGACCACATGTACATACAAATTTGACTTATGACAGAGGTGACATTACAGATAAGTGGGGTAAGGACCCTTCAATAAATGATATAAAAACTGTTTTTCTAAATTGTTAGCTATTTGAGATATGCTATGTAAATATTTCTTGCTCCTTTGAAAATCAATTTGTCACCACCAATTAACTGTGAGTACTGGATGATCCAGAAATTATACTCCTGAAACTTGCAGTTACCAGAGCTCATACAAAAGAATGTTAATACCATAGCAATGTTACAGGTAAGATAAAAAGATGGGGGTGGGGATCCAACATGTCTACTGAAAGAAAATCTGTAAACTACTTATGGTCAATGAACATACAAGATAGTGGGGAAAAAAAAGGATGCAGGCTGCTCCATGAATCAACATGAATAACATTTGAAGACAACATAGAGAAGAAGTCCCAAAATAGCATATAGAGTGTGGTTTTATTTACGTCAAACTTTAAAACATGTAAAAGAAAATAATACATAATTTAGTAAGGCCTACATCTGTGGTTAAATGTAAAAATAAAGAGTAGAGTGATAAATTTAAAAATTCAGGCTAAATGTTCTAATGAGCTGGGATGGGGGATTAATTTAGGTGGAGCATGAAATCAGGGAGAAGCACTTCAAATAAATTGGTAATTTCTGTTTCTTAGGCTGGGTATAAGTCTAAAGCTTTTTGTTTTGTTTTGTTTTCTATTACTGCTATGACTTGGAACGTTGTGTCCCTCCAAGATTCACACGTTGAAGTTTAATTTTCATTGTGGTGGTATGAAGAAATCACGTAGGGCCTTTCAGTAGGTAATGGGGTCTTTATCCTCAGAAATGGAGTCAGTGCCCTTATAAGAGAGCTGCCTGGCCTTTCTGTCTCTTCTGCCACATGGGGACACAACTGTCATCCCATCTGCCATTTCAGGGCACAACAAGAAAGTGCCATCCTGAAAGTAGACATCTTCCTCCATCAGACTCTAAACCCATTGATTTCTTGACCTTAGACTTCCCAACTTTCATAACTGAGAAATCAATGTCTGCTGTTTATAAATTATCCAGTCTAAGGCATTTTCTTATATCAGCAGGAACAGATTAAAACAGCTACTTTAATATTTTAAACCTATAAATATTCCTTTGTACTCATTAAGCATTTAATAAAATTATTGCAAACAAATAAAAATATTGCAAATATTGAGTCAGGATGGACCTTGACTCAAAACTTGATCTGGATGCACACACACTCACACATACTGAAAGAGGATATGAAAGGATTTATTACTCATGTAATGAATGAGTCTTTCTGGGAAGAGTGGAAAGGACCCTAAGAAGGCCCCAAAATGGCTTGAGAAAGCAGAAAAAGAGTGGTGTGGGGTTTTTACAGTGACTATAGAGCGGGCCTAAGACAAGGGTGGCTTGAACTTCCTCGTAGTGCCAAAGAAGAGATCACCTTAGCTTTTTTATCAGGTGGCCCATGTAGATAGTGGAAGGAGAAGGAGAAAAGAAGTTTAAAAGATGTTAGAATTAGGGCTGGGATGTAGTTCAGTGGTAGAGCACTTGCTTAGTATGCACAGGTCATGGGCTCAATCCCCAGCACCACAAGAAAAAAAAGGATGTCACAGTCAGGCATCTATTAGATTCAGGCTCTACTACAAAAAAATTTAAGACAAAACTGTATAGATGGGTGTGCAGAAAACAAAGGGGATATCTTTCATTTTTTAAATAACATGCTGAGAAAAGGGCATCACCTTTCCCTTTCACAAACCACTTCTCTCCATTTTTTTCTTCTCTCAGGAATACTGCGCTAGAGGAAAAACTATAGTCAAATTACTTAAAATGGTAGAAAATGTAATTTACTACTCCGCAGAAGAAAGCAAATGTCAGGGAGGATTATTATAATAACATAAAACTAGATATTGTGTCTCAAGGAGGGGAAAGAATGAGAACTATCTGTGATGTTGAAAAGTTCCTGGGATGATGATGTAGGACAATATTCTTTGGGCCACTTTGTCATCTGGCTGAGCTCATGCTTTGCTGCTATGGTAGTGAAGAAATTCTGCATCAGCATAACCTGTAATTGGAAATGAACACAAGGTTTAAAGCCTTTTCCCAGAAGACTTTTCATTCCTCTTGAAGAGATACAAACAATGGATTACAAGCCACCTACTGAATATTGTTGTCGATACAAAGATAAGAAAGATTCAGTCTCTTCTAAGGGCTCACACTCTTTTGTGTTACTATTTTAGTCTGAGGTGTAAAAATGTGGATTTACATAAAAACTGTAGTCACAGTGATGGCTCAAATAATAAAATAATAAAATTGCTTTTAATGTATATCAAAATTAAAGAGTTCAAAAGAATCATTAATAACTGAGCCTACTGAATGATATATGCAGATGGAAATAACCCAGCTTAAGAAAATCCTCAATAAACAGGCTGGCGTAAAAGTGGAGACTGTGAGCAAAGGTCAATAGAGGTAAAGGTGGGGGGAAAGCTCAGTTACTTTGCATTCATGATTAAAACTGAAATGAATGCAGAATGAGAGGACAGAATTTCAAATGGGGCTGAAGAACTTTTGGAAACAGAATTCTATGCCCTGAAATGATAAACTGTTGGCACAAAAAAATGAAAACTCCTCCCTCTTCCTAATCTTTAGTAAACTCTTCTATACATAGACACTTTAAGAGAGGGCTGTTCTGAAAGGAACAAAAAAGGCTGAGCTCACAATCTGGTTTAATACATAATAATCAGTTCAGCATAATTATAATGAAAAAATACTTCTTATGTGCCAAGTGGTGTCATAAGCTTTTTACATAGTGCAACGTATTTAAGAGCTTTATAGTAATTTACTTAGTAATACTTAATGCAAATCTATAAGGGAAGTGGCAATATTCTCACCATTTTGTAAATTAGGAAATAGAAGCACAAAGAGATTAATTTGTCCATGGCCGCAGCTAAGAGGCAAATAATATCCTAATTTAGGCAGACTGGCAAACATGGTGTGGAAATTATCTAGAAACTGAATGCATTCAGTGGAACAGGAGCGTGCAGTTGGTGGGGGGGAGGGCTGGAGGATATGGATTCTTCTAGAAATCCACAAAATTTCTATAATTCAGAAGTGGTGCTTTAAATCAGTCTTAGCTATATTTTAAAGGATAGGATCACCCCAGCATGTTAATCCATTTTCATTCTCTCTCTTGTGTTCAAACACATACATACACATACAACTGTTCCAATTTTGAGTTAATTTTCATCTGGGAGTTCATAAATCTTAGCTTCATGTTACTAAAACTAATACCTAAGCAAGTCGGGTAACAAAGAGAAAGGTTTTATTCAGCTAATGGTTCTGGAGGGCCCAATGTAAGATTGGGTGCATCTATTATTTTGAGCCTCTGGTAAACTTCCAGATGGCAAAAATAAGGAACACATAATGGGGCAGACCACTTATAACATGAGCCAGGAAGCAGGGACAGACAGGACTGATGGGGTCCCACAATTTCCTTCAATGGCATACCCTCTCAGTGACTAAAGATTTCCCACTCCACCCCACCACTTCCCAAAAGTTCTATCTTGAGGACTAAGCCTTTAACACATGGATCTTTGGGGACACCATCTATATTCAAACCATTCCACCCGTAGTACTGGTTCCAACTATCCTCTTCTTATAAAAGTCCCAGCTGGGGGTTCTTGGATTGTTTCTCTGGTTATATACGAATGCTTTTTATTTAGTCCCTGCCTCACAGAGGCCTCTTACTATCTTCCGTAAAAGTCAGCCTGCCTTTTAAAGGCCCATTACTCCTCCCACATGGTATCCATGTGTAGAAAGTAACCTTGCAGATAAGGCCGAAAGTGAAATGGAGACATCGAACACCTCAATACTTGGCTGTCAGTGACCGATTTTTCCCTGCCTCTCCTCCCCAACAAACTTTCCTGCCCCAGTGTCATTTGCCTTCTCTCTTCTGGCTAAGAGAAGTACAAAGTCTTCCTTTAGGCAGCACTTATACTCTGGGCATCCAAGAAGAAAAAAAAAATAATGAGAGAAAGGAGATGCAGCATTTGGATACACTTTCACTTAAGCTCCAGTTTTGCCTCTATAAGGATCTGACCAAGGGGCTCTTAGTGGGTGTATATGTATGTAAACATTTGATATGAGCTATTGCACACACATATCACTTACTTGGACAACTAAGATGTGAGGAACCACTCTAACTGCTTTATCTGTAC